AGAAAAGGGTTTTTTGGGGGGGAGGTGACGGCATCTCAGGAACCCAAACGACCCCAAACTTGGCTCACTGGCTGTACCCTGCAGCCCCATGAGGCACCGCACGTTTCGAGTCGCTCCGAGTAGCCGCGTGGACGTCCGAGCACGTGGAAGAGTCGACCGTGACGCCGGACGCTGTTCTGGAACTTGCTGCCGTGTCCTTTGTCACAACTCCCGGCGGGATCCAGCAAACGAGGTTTCTGGGGCTCGGCCAGGGGCTAGCGATGGGCTCAGAGGGGCGGGTGCTCGGAGCTTAGCGATTCGGGGCCAGGAGGCGATGGTGGATAACGCTGCGGGGGAGGGGAACCTCGTCAGTGGTGATTATCGCACCAAACCGCGGCTGGTGGCACGTGCGGTTGTACTGCGCCACACGAGGAGCCTACACACGTGGAGGGAACGGGGTTGAGAAATGAAGGCTCTCGGTGGTACGTGACCCACGCTCTGCCCCGAACCGGTAACACAACACAGAGCACCCAGAACCAAACTCTTCCGCCAGGCCCCGAGGCGAAACGCCCGGCTCACGTTCACGCTGGAGCCGGGCTGCAGCAGGGAACGAAGGGCCGGGCCGGACAAGGGAGACTGCGGGGGTGTGGCAAGTGGAGGGGATGGGCAGGCCATGCGAGGGAGCCCGTGGGGGTATTGTGAGCGGAGGGGACGGGCGGGCGAAGGGCCGGGCCGGACAAGGGAGACCACAGGGGTGTTGCAAGTGGAGGGGACGGGCAGGTGAAGGGACGGGCCGCGCGGGGGAGCCTGGTGGGGTTTTGCGAGCAGAGGGGACAGGCGGGTGAAGGGATGGGCCGCGCGGGGGAGCCCGTGGGGCTGTTGGGAGCGGAGGGGACGGGCGGGCGAAGGGATGGGCCGCACGAGGGAGCCCACGGGGGTGTTGCGAGCAGAGGGGCCGTGTGGATGTTAGGAGTCATTAAAAAGGGGATAGAGAATAAGACTGAGAATATATTACTGTCCTTATATAAATCAATGGTACGTCCACATCTTGAATACTGTGTACAGATGTGGTCTCCTCATCTCAAAAAAGATATACTGGCACTAGAAAAGGTTCAGAGAAGGGCAAGTAAAATGATTAAGGGTTTGGAACGGGTCCCATATGAGGAGAGGTTAAAGAGGCTAGGACTTTTCAGCTTGGAAAAGAGGAGACTAAGGGGGGATATGATAGAGGTCTATAAAATCATGAGTGATGTGGAGAAAGTGGATAAGGGAAAGTTATTTACTTATTCCCATAATACAAGAACTAGGGGTCACCAAATGACATTAAGAGGCAGCAGGTTTAAAACAAATACAAGGAAGGTCTTCTTCACGCAGCGCACAGTCAACTTGTGGAACTCCTTGCCTGAGGAGGTTGGGAAGACTAGGACTATAACAGCGTTTACAAGAGAACTGGGCGGGCGAAGGGACGGGCCGCACCAGGGAGCCCGTGGGGTTGTTGCGAGCAGAGGGGACGTGTGGTCAAAGGGACGGGCCGTGCGAGGCACAACCCCCTGCACAGCAGGGTGGGGAGGTCCAGCTTCCAGTCACGGCATGGCTCACCCTCAGGGCCGGGTGGTTTGATGTGAACACAGCATGTCCACATCTGGAAAGCACCAGTTGGCTGCTACTAGCGGAGAAAAGACCTTGCAGCACGGGAACCACCGGGGCGCTGTAGGGACAATTCAGATGTCACTGAAGGAATTGGAGGGAGGGGTGTCGCGGGGTGTGGGGGAGTCAGGGCCCTGCACCCCCCACTTCCTGCCATTCCCCGGGACTCTCAGCCAGCCAGTAACACAGAAGGTTTATTTGACGACAGGAACACGGCGTAGGGCAGAGCTTGTAGGTACAGAGACCAGGACCCCTCAGTCAGGTCCATCTTGGGGGGTGGGGAGCCCAGACCCCGGTGCTGGGCCTCCCTCTGTTTCCCCAGCCAGCTCCAAACTGAAACTCTCCAGCCCCTCCTCCGGCCTTTGTCTCTTTCCCGGGCCAGGAGGTCACCTGATCCCTTTGTTCTCCAACACCTTCAGCTGGCACCTTGCCGGGGAGGGGCCCAGGCCAGGAGACAGGGTGTCGGCCATTCTCTGTGCAGACACCATCACACCTGCCCTCTCGGGCTCTGCAACAGTGTCATACCCTGATCCCACCACCTAGAGACTTACGAACTGCAAAGGGGAAATTGAGGCACCCACACAGTATTCAGAGAGAACATTAAGAACAACCCCACTTTGTCACACGGGATCAGAACAAGGCAAAGCTGGTGACCATCGTGTTCCCGACCCGACCGGTGATTCCCTCGGCTCATGTCCCGGGTGGGTCCTGCTGACAGTGTAGATAAATTTCTGATAATTTTCATATGACTTTACATTGTGCCTCTTCATATAACCTTGTGGTGGGTCTACCCACGTGTGACCTCTGCTCATATGGGACCCGTTCCAAACCCTTAATCATTTT